AATATACATGATAGATGAAAATGTATGCTAATTTTATTTTATTTAAATTTATTTATTTCTCTATCTATCGGTTCTTTTTTTTTTGAATGTTTCTTAAATATGAGCATCAACAAAAATGATTCTCGAAAAATTGAAAAGGCACATGAATAAATTAATGGTCATGGAGGTAATTTTTTCCTCACCTAAATGCACCACATAAAATGCGAAAAAGTTAACTACATGTACAATCATTTAAATCAATGAATGACATAAAATGAACAATGATCTTTAAATTATTTTAAAACCCAAATGATGAAGAAGATGCAATTAAAAACCCTATACAAATTCCTGGAGAAATCATAAATTCGAACTCACTTTGTAAAACTCCTATCGTCTCATCAACCCTGAAGTCTTTTAGCTAAATAAAAATCAGAATCATAACTCAATTTAGCTTTATTATTTAAGCAGCGTCGAACTATTTATTGAGGCAAATATATTAAAAGAAAGAAGATAAAGGAAAAGAACATGAAAGCTCGCAACAATAAAACTAAAAGTCCAAGAAAAGCAATAGCCCTCATTCTAATTGTAACAAAAGAAATATGGAACCAAAGTTATAATCACATAAAATTTAGTGGCAGGTGAAATATGAGTGGTAGCCAATAAGTTGGTTAATACATCAAACTACCCTCGACTCTCAAAGCTTAATAAACATCAACAAATCAGTCCAATAGCAATCCAACTCTATATATATGTGTGTGTGTGTAATAAGACTTAAATTGATTCTAAACAAGTTAATCAAACATCTAAATTGTTCTCCATGAAAAATTTCATATTTGTCTTTCTTTTTCTTTCCAATAAAACAGAGTACAGGGCCTGGCGGAAGCCAATACAGTAAATAAACAATGTCCAATGAGCTGTGATAGTCTACACAGACATGTACAATCATTCAGAACAGGGATCTAATCCCTGTTCAACAGTACAGTAACAGTCTATACAGTAAACAAAACAGTTACAGAGACAGACGGGGAATATTAAAACACCCCAAAGCCGAAGCTTGAACGGCTTGGAACCTCACAGTGAGGCACGGTGGTTGGATGACAAAACAAAAGCTTGCCTGACGCTCCTAGCAGCGGTCCGATACCTGAACACCTACATATATATATGAGCAGTGAGCTAAAGCCCAGTGAATAACATAATACGCAAAGAGGTTTAGGATGAATGTCTTTTCAATATTTAAAACAGGTCATTGATTCAGTATATCGGTCAGTCAGTTTGTGGCACATATTTGATGCCGTAACAGTCGTTTAGAAATCATAGTAATCGTACGTGGTACATCCGTTAGCAGTACTAGTAGCAGCGTCAGTACAGTAGCAGTACAGTAGCAGTAACAGTAACAGTAACAGTACAGTAGCAGTACAGTAACAGTAACAGTAGCGGTAACAGTAACAGTAACAGTACAGTAGCACTACAGTAACAGTAACAGTACAGTAGCAGTACAGTAACAGTAACAGTACAGTAGTAGTACAGTAGCAGTAACAGTAACAGTAACAGTAACAGAGCAGTACAGTAACAGTAACAGTACAGTATTTCCCCGCTCGAGCGGACATGCTGACAAAGGTCTCCGCTCGAGCGTACATTACTCCGCTCGAGCGGACTGTAAAACGGTGCAAGATGCTGGGAGCTCGAATTCCACGCTCGAGCGGCACTTCCCCCGCTCGAGCGGAAGTGCGAAATCTGGAAAACCCAGATTGCACCTCCAAGCTCAAAACCAAGTTCAAAAGCATCAAAACTCGACCTCTTGGGCTAAATTTCCAGAAAACATTTGTAAACTCATAGTATAGCATGTTTCAAAGATCAATTTGAGAAATCAAAGCCCAAAGGTAGTTCAATTAAACATGATTTCAAACCAAGTTTCAAGAACAACAACTCAAATGTGACATGCATGATCTTAAATCATCTTCAAAGCTTTAGTGCTGTTTCAAAAGAGCTCAAACCTTCAAAAACAAGATGAACTCATGGAGTATGACCAAAAGATGGACATGCATGTGAGGTATTATGAGCTACAACCTCAAAACTTCAATATATGTACATGCATGCAACCATTAAGCTTTATTTCAACAACAATGAACCAATTCATGACTTAGTTCTACAATGAAGCATGAATCATGCAAGAACAACTCAAAGACACCATTAAGATGATGAATGATCTACCTTAGGTGTAGAATTAGAAGTGAGGGAGCTCAAATTAGTAATCAACCTTCGATTCTTTAAGCAATTCTAGCCAATTCACCATGAAACAAGTTGAACTCAACTCTTCTAGCTCCTCTCTCTCTCTAAGGTCGGCTAGAGCATCAAACAAGGCTGAGGAAATGTTTGTTTCAAGTGTGCACAAGGCTCTAATATGTTATAATAAGAGGCCCACTAACAATGGCAATTTGGTAATTAAGCCTAACTCTTTAATTAGCTTGTTTTAATCTAATTTAGTCATACCTAATTAGTTTTCAGGTAAATACACCATAAACTCACATTAATTATGAGGATTATAAAACATTAATCGATTCCCGGTTCGGCCGCCGATAAGGCCTTCAATTAGCAGTTTAAACATAAAACATGAACAGATAATCAAACAATCAAACAGATAGGTTATGCATTTAAACAGATACAGTCAATCAATTAATTCCAGACTCCAGTCAGTCAGTTCAGTACTTTTAATCAGCTCAATTATCAGTCATGATCAATTCAGTTTAACGGTAATCAGTGTCTATCGGTAATCAATCAGTCATTAGTCGGTAAACAGTGTTTAGTCGGTAAACAGTGTGAGGGTTGTTACACCTCGACTCTCAAAGCTTAATAAACATCAACAAATCAGTCCAATAGCAATCCAACTCTATATATATGTGTGTGTGTGTGTAATAAGACTTAAATTGATTCTAAAGAAGTTAATCAAACATCTAAATTGTTCTCCATGAAAAATTTCATATTTGTCTTTCTTTTTCTTTCCAAGCTCTGTAGAAAGAGATTACAAAATATAAGGGGTCGACAATCTTTTCTTGGCAATATCTCAATCATATGTTAACATGAAATTGGCATCTCATAAGCAAAAATGCATATTAACAAAACAACTTCTCTCTCATGGGCATATTATCAATCACATTATATGCAAGTTATATGCTAACAAACACCAAGAGAATACACAAGCATATAAAATCAATACAAACATGTGCAAAAAGAACACAAAATTTATGACAATGTCATACCTGATTGTGCGGTTTGGGAGTTGATCTCTAGATACGGTGAATTCCAACTCGTAGGTGTATATATGATTTAATACAATTAGTTCATCGTCACAGAAGCACTTTGGACAATCAGTTCACCACCACAGAAACACTCTGGACAGCATATGTGGAAATTTCGCATTGAATCCTCATTATTCGGTCACCTCACATGGACTCTGTCAGAAGCCTCTGTTATAGATTATTAGTATATATGCTTTTGTGCACTGACTGACTTCCTCTTTTTGCAAAATAGGATTAATCCAGTTAAAGAAGCAAACAAAAGCACTGTTTTCTTCCCACCACATGGTGCACATTCACGGGCGTTAGACTCAGGGCTATACTACTTTGAAGCACCGACCTGGGTAATTTCTAGGAGGACCAAGAAGCAAGTTGTGAGTTGACCTCGATTGATCCTTGAACACAACGGAAACCAAGTGCATTATACGAGTTCAGATCCTCTCCAGCCAACTCCTCCGGCCATTCTTCCTGTCAAGGGCCAGGATTTGGCCACGTCACCAGGGCCAAAAGCTACTGCTAAGATCAAGTTTGGTTTTATAAAAAAAAAAAAAATCATATTTTTTTTTTCACTCAACACAACAACAATCTTCTCCAATTTTGTTTGTTATATATGTTGATTAAAATTGAATACTTTTGCGATCGGGACTTGGCTTGATCGATGAAAATTGAACACTACTGGTAATGTATGAAAGAGTTGGAGTTTTTTGTGAGCTATTTGTGGAAGGAATCTTCCTAAAAAGGCAAAAACAATCGAAGTGAAGAATTGATTTGTAATGAGCAGAGAACTCCAATGCATAAATATATATATATATATACAAAATAGATTCAGATGTATGTATATTATATATATATATCTTCAATTGCTTTCATTGTGCATGATAATGGCTCTAGTTCGCGGTCGTCGGAGCTCTGGTTTGCTTGATGTTCGCCGCCGTCGATGTTCGCCATTGATAAAGGAAAAGACGCAAGGAAGACAGCTCTATTTTGCTATTTTTGAAAACAATAACTTACAGACTCGAAAACAATAACTTTCAGTACGTTTTTGATCGATTTGGTGTTAGGGCTTTTTTGATTTTGATCTCGCATTGATTGGAATCAAGGTGTTTTTGGGGTGTGAATGGATGAGGGAGAGGGGATCGAGAGAGAAGAGTGAAGAGAGAGAGTGGTAATGGGGTTGAAGAAGGTGGGAGAGAGCAGAGTGGCGAAGCTGAAGAGTTCGATAGTTTCAAGGCTTCGAATGAATCTGTGAATGAAAAAAAAAAGGATTTTTTTTTTATTTTTATAAAACCAAACTTGATCTGAGCCGTAACTTTTGGTCCTGGTAATGTGGCCAAATCTTGACCCTTGACAGGAGGAATGGCTGGAGAGAATCCGAACTCACATTATACCGCGGTCTTTAAGGTGAGGTTTTTTTTAATATATATGTGATGCATTATTTTTTCACTTTTCAAAAGCCGTTCATTTAAAATGCTTATTGTTTCCCATGCTTTAAAAAAATTTAAAGTATTCAGCATCCGTTTGGAAAGTGAGTTGATTTTTTAACTTTTTGATTTTTTTGACTATTTTAGTCTGGATTAAAAAATTTAGTTTGAAAAGAACTATTTAAAATTTTAAACTTTTTTTTATAAAAAAATAATGTAATAATTATAAATTAATGCGATATATTATTTATTGTCACTAAAATAATCTATTTCATCTTTTGTAGGTATTTTAACCGCATACCAACTTGCTAAACACCACCATCACGTTTCTTTGGTAGAGAGAATAATTTGATCGATTCCTACCTTCAAAACCCTGGAATTAGGGTTTCTTCGAAGACATCAATATGCAGAAGAAAGAGAGACGACGAAAGTTCCATGAATCCCTCCTCAACATGCTTTATCCTCCTCCACCGTCCCCTCCTCACCAAGTTCTCTCTCTCTTTTTCTCTCTCTCTCTCTCTCTCTCACTATCTAAACTTTTTCTCTTTCATTCTTTCTTCTTTTAGTTCTGACGATGTGAAGAAAAAACGTAGGAAAGAGATGCGGAAGAGCCGGTGAACATATTGCGGGATTGCTTCAATGTCAATAACATTTCAGGTCCCTTTTTAGTGAAATTGATTAAATTGTATACGGAAATCTACATGAATGTTGGAACAAATTAGGGATTTGATGGATTTGATATTGTGGGTGTAGATGAATTGGGGGAGAGTGGCTCGTCCAGCGAAGGCGAGGGTGAATGTGGGCCTCAGAAGCTCACTAGGGCACAGAGGAAGAGGCTTCGGAAGAAGAAGATCAAGGAAGGTGCTTCACGTCGTAGGAAAATTATTGGCCCTCTGTTACCTACTCCTAGTGATGATCATGATCATGGTGATAGTACAAGTGAGCCTCAAGGTGTTCGACGTAATGTCGATGAGGAATCAGACATTGGAAACGACAAGCCCGGTAAAAATTTCATGTCTTGGCCTGATTGGTATATACAATTTTTCGTTGGAAATTTAATTGCATAATTCTGTTTGCAGATTAATGGTTGTGATTTTTAAAAATTGATAATAAAAACCGGAAAACCGCATTGTCATATGACACATTGGTAGAAATGCTAAAAAAAAAGGAGGTCAGACGTGGGATGAGAGGAAGAATAATTCATTTGGAGCATGTGAATTTTGAAAAGAGAAAATAAAATAAAATAAAATAATGTTTGGTTCATGTTTTTGGGAAGGGATTTGGAAAGAGAAAGGAAAAAGAAAAATATTGGTGAAATACGAAGTTAATATATACACATTCACCAATGTTTCACACACCTTTATCTTTTTTCCTTTCAAATCTCTCCCTAAATCCATGAACCAAATACAGTCTTAAAGAAATAAGTGGAATGGAAATGTTTTGGCCCTTTGATCAAGGGAAGTCCAAGTAGCTCAGTGGACACCTGCACATGAATAGCTGTGTAAGCTAGAATGGGTGTGATGGTAACGTATTCCATGAACGGGAAAGAGCTTTCTAATATTAAGGAGCAAAATGTCAAAAGCTACTTAAAATATTAAATAGACTGTTCATTATTAAATTTGTAGAATTGTTACATTTGTTGAAGGTTCCTAATGGTTTCGCAAATTTGTGGTTTAGGAGAGCCTGCTGCTTGCATGAATCAGAACAAGCTAAAACATAGAAGGATGGCTAAAAAGCAGGCCAGGGAGAGGTCAAAGGCCTCTATTACTGAGAATTGCCATCAAGATTGTGGCCCTTGCAGTAACAATAAAAGTAGTCCCCGAGAATTTTAAATTACTGACACTGCGGCAATATTGTCTAAGGTATGTTCACTTGGATGAAGATTCCTTCAGATATGGCCTATTTGATTGAATAGGGATGACATAGCTCTCTGCTTTTGTATTTCTCTGAATTTGTAATTCGTCCTTTCTTCCCCTGAAATTGGCAGAGTGGATAACTGATCCTGTAAAATAATAGGGGAAGAAGCATTGATCAATCCTGTTAATCTGTGATGTTCTTGAATATTAAAACTGGAATATGATATGATACCCAGTAGTTGGTTCAACAGTATTGAAAATTTGTTCTTTTTTCTTTGATAATGGTCGTAAAGATGTTTGCAAGTTCTATGTTCATAGGTGCTTCCATTCCATAAAGTTGCAGTAAAGAGAGAAAACCCATCCTATGATTTCACAAAGATTGATACTATTTGGTGGATGACTTTATTTATCTGTAGCCTCTAAAAACATCTGAAGGACAAGCTCTTCAAATAATACTGTTCTGTTCACTACCTATCTCTAATTTTGCAATACAATCATAGCACGATTAGTGATCTGCGATCGTGCGCAGAAGCTCAGAGTTATGGTGAAATGCCTACAACTTACAAGGAAGTAGAACCCATAGCGTGTGTATTTTTTTATTTATTTTCAATTTTTAATTACAGATACAAAGTGCAGTGGTTAACAAGCAGAAGTAATGCTGATATCAGCGTTTAGCAGTAAAGCTAATGGCTGAGGACAGTTGGAAACCCTGTCCAGAGGTAGAACCCAGAAGCATAAGCTGATGCAGCAACCCATTGACCAATCTGGTTGAAGAAACACTACGCATTGGAAAAGCTAGTGGACTAAATGCCCGGTTTAAGCAACGGTTCAGACGGTCAAGTCAATTAACTTGAGTGGATAGATCTGCCTAATGTCGGAGATTAAAGGGAGAATCTCTCAATTAGCGTTGGTTTACTCTTTATCACACTTGAGCAGACCGAATGCTAGCAGCTAGCTTTCCCCATTGTAAGGTTATATGGTGCTTTTAGCCATTCTGTCCTCTAAATGCCACGGTTATTTTGGTTGCCGCTTTTGAAAGACGCTTGTTGTATCAGCCTGCTGCTCTTGAAAGACCTTTGTTGTACCAGCCCGAGTTTATAAGTAGGGGAAAATGGAAAAAGAAAAAGAAAGACACACTTCCACTTGTGCTGAATAATATTTATGGGCTTTCTTTGATTATTTTAAACACACAGTATTGTAAGAAAAAGAGAGGACATGTTTGTGTTGTTTATATTGTATACCCAAAAAGAGGTTTTGTAAGGATAAATCTCACCACACTTCAATACATCTTGTAGGAGAGGGTTCAAGAAAGGAGTTGAAAAATTCGAAGATCTTCGAAGATCCTTGAAGAACAACTTCGAATTCTCTAGAATATGATGAGAGGCTTAGATTCTTCAATAACCTCAACTTAGGAACACAACAACAAAGGAGATGATGGAGATAAGAGATTGGGTGAAGAAGAAGGCAAAATGGCTAGAGAGAGAATAATGGCAAGGCTCTCCCAGAGATCTCCCACTTTCACTCTCAAGGTTGATAATGGAGAAGGGAAATTAGTTCTTTTCCAAGAGTTAAAAATCTCCAAAATTCATCCCTTGTAAAGCTATGGGTGGGTGCTATTTATAGGCACCTCATGATGTAGGATGGAGCCCATGTGCAAGGCACATGGGGGATATTCTCTCTAACCACCTTGTCCGAGGAGGTGACTTCTCCGAGGAGGTGACTTCTCCGAGGATGAGAAAACCCCGAAGAGGAGATCAATCCCTCGGCGAACCCTTCTTCTTAGCCACACCTAACCAATGATCCCCAATCATCCCAAAGGGTCAGGGGTAGTCCCAGAGGACGTCCTGCCGCAAAATATTGCCGAGTCTCATGGACCCCCCGGGGTCGTGCCACCTCGACCCGGGTATAGGCTAGTTTAACCGAAGAGTGAATTTATCTCCACTCACCGTCCTCGGGATCGGGTCCTTTGTTCGGACTCCATTACGCCCATGGTTCTGGTACGTAGACCCCGGAAAGCTCCGAGCCCGCAAGTGTTCTGGGACTCATTAACGGAGCGACTTCTAGATTGCGTCTGAATCCGTTCGAAGCCAAGTACTTCGGATCTCTAGATTCGTGGATCCGAATCCTTTCGAGTCCGAGTGCCTCGGATCTCTAGGCTTGCTTAATACCCTTTCGAGTCCGGGCCCGAGTAAGTCTCTAGGTTCGTGGATCCGAACCTTTTCGAGGCTTAGAGCGATTCAATCCGTTTGATGGCGATAAATCTGGGCCCACCGATTCTTGGACTTGCGATAAATTCGGGCCCACTAATCTTGGGCTATTGGGCTTAAATAATTTAGTGGGCTCAAATTAGCCCCTCTTACACATCTAATAGAAAATCTTTGCTTAGACATCTAGATGATATACCAAATTTTGTGTTTATTCATGGCTAGTCTACTTACATATATGTGCAGTGAATGAATTTCTAAACAGACTCACTGACAAAAAAAAAAAAACAAAAAACTGAAACATTTTTTTCTAAATAACTGGGAAGCACGTTTGTTAGCACAGAGTGAGTTATGCCAATCTATTAACCAATTCAAAACTACGAACTTGTAAAATACCTAACTAAATTATTTTTAGGCATTAACATAAAAGATTATGAATCTTTCACTTTTAGATAAAGTATTTCACAATTTAAAAGAAATAAATTAGTAAAGTTCATATATTTTTGATCACGAGACATTTCCCTAATCATGATTCACTTTGTTTGGTTTCCATTTCTAGAATTCATTGTTCTGAAAGTTTTACTTTTTGGTTTTTCATATTTTTTTGTTTTCACTAATTTTTTTAAAAAATATTTTAAGCAGTTTTTTTTTTTTTTTTTTTTTTTTTTTAAATTTTTAAACATACTTAACATAAATACACTTAAAAAGTATAATATTTATGAAATAAATCTTTAAAAAATTCACTAAATACCAAAAATATATTAAAAAAATATAAAAATTCAATACATTTTTCGTATTTTTGTGTATTTATTAATTTTTTAAAATATTTTATAATTTAGATATATCAAAGTAAGTTACATTTAAAAAAATATTTTTTTTTACAATTTTAAAAATATTAATTAAAAAAAAAATCAACTTTTAAAAAATTAAATTCAAAAAGTTGAAATCAAAGCGTGTTCGGATCCTCGGCTTACGGTGCGTCCTGCGGCACCCCCAAAACGACGTCGTTTTGGGGGAAATTTCATTAAAAAGAAAAAAGAAAAAAGAAAAAAAGAAAGAAAGACACACCAGATGCAAACCAGAGGGAGAAGAATGAAGGAAAGAGGCAAACCAGAGGCAAATAGATCTGTGGAGCAACGGAGGGAGAATCAAAACACAGACCATCTATATGGAAAGAACATCTACAAAAAACATAGAGAGGATATATATATATATATATCAAAACACACAAATATACCCGAAATTTGATTCCTTCACTTTCATCTTCCTCTATCAATAGCTCATATTTTATGTTCATCTTCCTTTATCAGCAACTCACTTTCAGCTTCCTCTTTCACTTTGATCCCCACATACCCACACATTCAACTGATCAAAGATTCAAATAATCTCACCTACAATAGTGATGCTCCAAATCCAAAATGTTAAATGACTTACAAATATAATTTAAGCTCTCAAGTATTCAACAAAAAGAAAAAAAATTTACAGGTTAAATTTACTAAAAATTTCGTCCAGAATATCCTCAAAGAAAAAAATTAGTTAATTGTTCAGGCCCCTCTCTTCGTCTCTCGCCGCCTTAGTCGCATGACTTAGAAAGCCTGTGTAAAATCTGTGGATAATTGCTCCATCTGTGAAAAGGCTGCTAGCACCCTGTGAAGCTAGAGAATAGTGAAAAATCTAAAGTGAAGCTTGAGGAGTGGACGCAGGTCGAGTTGAAACCGAACTACTATAAATTTGTTTGCCTCTCTCTCCTTTATCTCTTTATTTTATTTAAATTGCCATAATTATATTTCACATTTTCACTGTGCTGAAATCATTAACTGACATAGTTGTTAGAACACTTGTTTTAATTATTTTTATTTCATTAACTATATTTATCTATTGTGCTAGTCATAATTTTTATTAGGGTATTATTATTTTTATTTGTAAAAACTTAATTCACCTCCTTCTTAGGTTGTCTTTTGGGTAACAGTTTGTTTAGGGTTTCTAAAGATTTAGGTCTTTTATCATTTTTAGGAAAAAAATATTGGAAGAAATCAATACTTCTCATATTAAGTGGGATATATGTTTTTGAATTTTGAAATTTAAAAGTATAAATAATTAAAGTTTTTTTATTTTTATTTTAATAGATGAACTGGCTAATAGATCTTTTTTTTAAGCATAGATCTTTTTTATGTTTTTAATGGATATAATTTTCTATATTAGTGGGATATTTAAAATTTTAAATTCAAATTTAAAGGATAATTAGAGTTTTTTTTTTCTTTGTTTGGTTAACCAATAGACAGTTTTTAATTATTTAAAAATATAAAAATTCTAAAAATTCATGTTGAGAATTTGGAGCTCTGACAACCCTTGTGGTTTAAACACCGTTTTGCTTATATAATATATAGATAGATATAGAATTATAAGATTCACTTTACATAAGTGAAACAACTCAGTTTTTCTTTATTCTCCCGGTGTGTGATTATAAAATAAATCAAATCATAGACCAATTAGAGTTTTTATTTTAAAATGTAAACTGCGTTAAACTGAACTATGCACAATACTACAATATTAAATACATGTATAAGATTTACTTTATATAAGTAAAACAACTCACTTTTTCATTCTCTTCTCGATGTGAGATTATCAAATAAATCATAAACTAATTAGAGTTTTATTATCAAATAAATCATAAACTAATTAGAGTTTTATTTTTATATGGTTAAATGAAAGCTAGCCAATAGAGATTTTTTTAATTATTTAAAATTTAAAATATTAAGAAAACTAGTATGAGATTTTAAACCTCTCACAAGCCTTCCCATTAGAAATCTCTTTTTTCTTATATAATAAGATAAATAAATAGTGAAACAAACTTTTGTTTTTTCTTCCTCTCCCGATGTGGGATTTTAATCATAAACCAATTAGAATTTTATTTTTATATGGTTAAATGGAAGTTAGCCAATGAATTTTTTTTTAATTGTTTAAAATTAATAAAATCAATATGATTAAACCGGTGAATCGGTCAAACCCAAAATGGTTCAACCTAATCGGTTAGTCAAATGACCAACCAACTTATTCAAAAATTAATTAATTAAAACGTTCAAATGTTATTTTAATTTTAAAATTTAAACTGTCTTGAATTGAAGTATACACAATACTATGCTATTAAGATTCATTTTATATAAGTAAAACAACTCATTTTTTTTTTCTTTTTTTGATGTGGGTTATAAAATAAAAGTTAACAATTATTTGGATGGAAAGTTTATTTCTACTCAAGCAATCTCAGTCTTTCAATCTTTAATCAGATCAATCTTTAATTTATTTTGAATCAAATAAATCTAATTAATATATTTTGATAAAATCGATAAAATTGTGGTTAAACCAACAAATCAATCAAATCGAAAATGATTTAGCCTAATCGACTATATCAAAATTAATTAATTAAATTTTAAAAAATTTAAACTATATTGAATCGAAACATGCACAACATTACAATATTAAATGGGATGAGAATATAAGATTCACTTTATATAAGTAAAATAACTCATTTTTTCTTCTTATTTTTCCGATGCGGGATTATTAAATAAAAGCTAGTCAATGGAGATTTTCTGAATTGTTTAAAATTAAAAAAATCAAGAAAATTAGTATGAGATATTAAAACTCTCACAAGACTCCTCACTAAATGGGATAGAAGTATAAGATTCCTTTTATATGAGTAAAATAACTCATTTTGTTTCTTCTTTTTCCAATGTGGGATTTGTTAGGGAAAATATATGATTTCTTACAAGTAAATTAATCAATGAGAATAAAAACTAATGCGAAAAAATTAAATCAACAGCGACACAAGAATTTTACGTGGTTCCTTCAATGTAAGGTATATCTACGGGATCGAAATCCGATTTCACTATCAACCAAAAAGTTTTCAAACGATTACAAATGAGACACAAATGATTTCACAAAACCACCCTTAAGTGAATTTCAAATAACCACAAATAAATAACAAAAAAGA